GGGTTGGAGCCAAGGGTGGTGGCCTCAGGCAGGCATGTGTGTGGGGTGCAGATTGGTCGAGTTCGAATGGGTCGAGCCGGCAGCGCTGCATCGCACAGCTGCCGATGTGCAGATGCGCAACACAGATACAGAGGCTGCCAGCCATGTGGCAGCGCGCCTCCCAGACGTGTCCGCCCATCCACTTGCAGGCAATGGCAGCAGCCCGTGCTGCCCGGCCGCTGCCGCTGGTGCTGCTGCTGCCGCCGCTGTCCCCGCTCCCGCTCCTCCAGCTACAATCGCCTGCTGCTCAACCCCTGACTGCTACTCGCTCCAAGCCAATGATGCTGCCGGGCACGATACAAGGTATGCTTTGTGAAATGAGCCACCCACCGTGGTGATGTCGGTGGTCACGGTGCCCGCCTGGTGAAGGTGGAATGTGAGTGCACACCAGGCGCGCAGCAGGTGAGCATGGCTGCAGGCCCAATCACGCTCTGGGCGCTTGCATATGAACCTCAGCCCAGAGGCACTGCTAGAAAGGACGGCGTCCCACGTGCGCCCCACATCCCGCGTGAATTTGACATTATCAAGCAGCGCCTGCAGCCGCGGCGCCCCGCACTGCTGCGCTGCGCCGCACACGCGCGCGCGCACCTTGGGGTTGGGCATGAGGCCGCGGGGGCCCAGCACGCGACCCAGCTTGGCGACCTTGGGCATCATGTCGGGCGTGGCGATGAGCTTGTCAAAGTCGAGGAAGCCGCCGCTGATCTTGTCCACCAGATCGTCCGACCCGTACACGTCCGCGCCGGCGGCCTTGGCGGCGTCCAGGTTGGCGCCCTGCGTCAGCACGGCCACGCGCAGCTCCTTCCCGGTGCCGTGGGGCAGCGACACGGTCGCGCGCAGCTGCTGGTCGGAGTACTTGGGGTCCAGGCCCATGCGGGCGTGCATCTCAACAGACTCGGTGAACTTGGTGGACGCCGACTGCTTCAGCAGCTTGACGGCCTCCTGCGGCTCGAGCTCCTGGACGCGCGCCGGCAGCTTCGACTTGACCGTCTTGTAGCGGCGAGAGCGCTGCCTCTCCTTGCGCAGGTTCTGGCCGGGCCTGATGATTACCTCGTCCACGTCCTCCTCAACGGCGGCGGCGGCGGCGCGCACGACCACAGCGTGGCGCAGCGGCGCCGCGCGGCCGAGCTGCGGCTGGCAGGCTGCAAATGGCCGCACGCTAATGCTGCTGCGAGCTGCCTGCCCGGCCGCCGAGGAGGCGGGCAGCGAGCGGAGAAAAGCCATGATGGCTGCGGGCCTCGACCTGTGACCTGCGGGCGTTCGGGCAATAGTCGCGGTTCAGACGCAATGTATACATATCGCACGATGCGAATGCCGCGGCAATTTGTGCGAGCGGGGCCGCTGCACCACAGCCATCGACCTTGCGCCCACCTGTGGCTCCCGGAGCCCCTGTCGCAGCACTGGTTGTGTTCTTGAAGGTCCCCCAACACCTATTGAATAGTGCGCACTTGACCCATTGGCCTCCTTTTTGGGGTGTGGCAGTGTGTGTGCCTGCAGAGTTCGTGGCTGGTTCTTTCAAAAAGCATCGCAGTCTGGGTCCAGAGCATTCATAAAGTCTGACACGATTTACATATTAACGAGTGCCTCGCCAGTGCGGTCCACGGTGGCCCTGCACACATGCTCCCGCCCATGCTGTGTCCAACCCTGCCACGACAGCACTGGAGCGCACAAAGCGCACAGCCGCGGCCCAGCGCACGCACGCCCGTCAGTGCTGCGGCGCCGGCGGCGCCTCCACCAGCCCCGCCGCTGCGAGCGCCTGCATCACCTGCGCCTGCAGCTCCTCGTCCACATACAGCGCCAGCCCCCCAAACACCACCACAACCACGACCACCTTGGCGGCCTTTAGCCGCGCCGCGCGCCGCCCCGCGCCGCCCTTTGCCGCCTCCCTGAGCTCCGCCCCCGGCCGCTTGAGCAGCGCGTTGAGCACCGCGCCCACGTACACGGCGAGGACCGTCGACGTGAGGCACACCACGTTGTACGGCATCGAGAAATCGGGCGGCGCCAGCGGCACGAGCAGGCCCTCGCTGTACAGCGCCTCGGGCCGCGCCGCCGACAGCGCGCGCAGCAGCGGGCTCGGCGCGCCGCGCGCCCCCCCGACGTCACCGCCGCGCCGCCACCCCCACTCGAGCGCTGCCGCGGCGCCGTCGGCGCCGAGCGGCGCGTATGTCACGAGCGCCGCGGGCACGTCGAACCCTCGGTGGGCGTCTGGCGGCCACTCAAATACGTGCAGGAACGCCTTGCTGAACTGCACGGCCAGCACCGCCTCGCGCGCCCCTGCCGGCAGCTCTATGCACAGGTCGAGCACGAGCGGCCGCGCGCGGTCCGCGGCGGGCGACACGTGGCGCAGCCGCAGCGCCGCGTCCAAGTCAGCGGGCGCGCCGTCGACCGTCAGCGTCAGCGTGTGCAGCCAGACGCGCACGTACCAAGGCACGATCTGGAACACGCAGACCGTCCGGTTGCCCGCCGCCGCTGCTGCCGCCGTGCTCAGGTCTGCGGCGCCGCCACCGCCTGCCTGACTGCTGCCGGTGCCTGCGCCGCTTGGGGCGGCGGCGGGGCCGGCACCTGCCGCTGTAGCGAGGCGCAGCACCATGCCCCCGTGCATGAAGCCGGCCCCAGTGGTGTACCGCGAAACGGCGAGCTCCGGCCGGGCTGCCACGACCGCACCCTTTGCGCCAAACCGCCGCCATGCCTGCCCCACGTCGAGCGCCGCGGGCCCGTCGCCCTGCCCCTCGGGTCGGGGCTGCTGACGGCGCGCCTCCTCCACCAGCGCCTGTAGATGATACGCATATAACACGGGGGAACCCACCCTATTGCTGCCGCTGCTGCTGCTGCTGCTGCCGCTGCCGATGGACCCGCCCTCATGGTTGCCTTGACCCAAGCGCCCAAACACAACCGCGTCTGGCGCGGGTGACAGAGAGAAGGCCTCTGTCGTCCACTCTGCCGGCCGCCGCGGTGGATCTGCAGGTCGCACCTCTGCGCCCGCTATCGCCTGCTGTTGCTGCTGAATGTTATCCTCAGCCTGCTCGCCACTGCTGCTGCTGTCGCTGCTTTTGTCGCTGCTGCTGCCGCTGCCGGTGCGGTGCACCTCTGCACCGCCTGCCTGCCAAGCTGGCGGGTGCAGCAGCTGCCCCGCACCATCCTCACCCACCGCCGCCTGCGCCGCCAGCTGCGGCGGCAGCTGCACAAATAGCCAGCTTTGGGTCGCGATGGGGCAGGCGCCGCGCAGCTTGGACCCCAGGAGATGACCCAGCCGCCAGCTGCTGTAGCTGCACGGCCGCGGCGCGGCCCGCCGCGCAGGAGGGGCGCCTGGGGTTTGCACCTGGGGCGGGCGCAGCACGAGCGTGATGCCCAGGGACAGCCGCGTCGACAGCAGGGCGCCATCGGCGTCCCGCGCCGCCAGTATGCCGACCCGCATGGAATGGTAGTCTGCGGGGGAGGGGGGAATATTGGCAAAGGTTGAGGCATCCACGGGTCCTGCGTGTTGCCCAGGGGTCGAAAGGTGTGCATTCGGGACTTTGGAGGCAGCCATGCCCGCAGCAAGCAGACAAGCCGCCGCTAGGGGGCGCCCCACCTGCGCCATACACCGAGGGGCGGTGCAGCAGCAGCGACGCCACGCCCGCCTGGTCGCGGCAGGGCAGCAGCTTCAGCGCGGGTGTGAGATTCTCGGTGCACACGACCTCCTTTGGCAGCGCCGCGTACAGCCGCCGCAGCCGCGCTGGCCGGGGCCCCATCGCCCCCGCCGCGGGCCCAGCGGCGCACGCGCGCGCGTCGGCGCCGACCTCGCTGTTGCTGGCGCGCCCGCCTGTTTCGCTGGGCTTCCCGAATTCGATGGCCTGTTGGGCTGTCGTCTCAGGGCGAGCCAGGAAGTTGAGGGAGGCGCAGAACATGCCGCTGAGGGAGTGGCTGAGGTTGCCCCACAGCAGCGGCAGCTGGCCTTCTGGGATGGAGGGGCTGAAGGCAGCGCGCAGCTCCTTTTGGGGGCGGAGGGACGAGAGGGGCGCCGGTTGGATGCAGGCAGGTGGTTGGTTGGACCCAGGTCGGCTGGGCAACAGCACTGGGCAACAGCATAGGGCCGCACGCGGCAGCACAGGCAGCGGCGGTGCTGCGTTTGCGCCAGGGGCCGCCAGGGCCTGGTGCCTGCGACGTGAGATGCGGGTTCCGTCGCGCGTCGGCTGCGGGCGACGCTCACCGCGCCGCTGGGCTTGGAGGGCAGCAGCGGCGATCCCCACGCGTGGTGGTGCTGCGGGTGAGGGGGAGGAGCGGGCGACGAATCGGCGGTGCTGCTGGTTTGGGCGCGGTAGACGCGGCTGGGTCGAAACGGCAACCCACAGCTCAGAGTGCAACAAGCGACAGCCTCGAAGTAGCGAGCAGGCGAGCGGGCCGCATGCCACCTACCCATCTGCCCTGTGTGAGGGACAGCTCCACCTCCTCAAAGGGCACGCCTGCCGCCAGCTGGGCGATCGCCTTTGGCAGCACCGAGTAGTGGCGCCGGCTGGGCGAGCTCAGCGTGAACTGGAGCTGCACCTGCGGGGCGCGCGCGGCAGCGGCGCGCGCAGGCCGGCTACTTGGTGCCTGCTGCCCCTTGCAGAGATTCGCTTCGGCCGGGCCAGCAGCTGCAGCGGGCACATGCGGCCGGGCCTGCAGCAGCGGAAGGCATGGGGGCCTGGCCAACCCGTCGGCCTGTGCAAGCCCTGGCCATTGCCATGATTGGGGAGGAACCCAGCGCACCTGGATGTGGCCGCTTGGCAGAGGGCTGATAACCACCTCCTCGGCAAACTCCTCTTGCGCCTACATGGTAGGTCGGGGCTGCAATCAGGCATGCGCACGGCCAGTGCGACGGCGGGGGTCGTGGTGTGTCGCCGCACCTGAACGCCACCACTGGCTGCAAGCGCCATGGCGAGCGCCAATAACATGAAGACTACAGATGTATTTTCTCCCATTTTGTCGAGAACAGTGCTTAGTCCACGGGGAGCTTGCGAGATCGCGCCATCGCGATCTGGATCCGCTTGCAAAGGCAAACCTATATCATTTTGGGAATGAAATTATGCGGGAACACACAGCTGCACCGCTCATTGTGCTGTGCAGCTACGTGCGCTGTTGTAGCAACAGGCTGTGCAAACCCCCGGCCAGCCCACATGCGTCAAACGCTGTGTAGAAGTGATTCCGCACCCAACCCCTTTCTGATACTCAGCAACCAGTCGGTTTTTGGTCTGGCTTCAAGTCCCTGACATCTAATGCGACTCTATCCAGGGTCAGGACCGCCCACGCCCAGTCCCTCATCTTGCCCACAGATTAAAAGCCCAACGAAACCACTGCGCATCCCTAGGGGCTTACATCGTTGATACCGTGTGAGTGGGTCTGCCTTGTTCCAGGCAGACAGCCCCGCACGCAGTCCAATACCCTACCCAGGCCTAAAGTAAATGGTGATGAGCACACAAAACCTTCAAAACTTTGAGTCTCGCTCGCTCGATGCAGTTCCTAAAGTTTTGGCGCCAGCCTGCCAAATCAGCATCAAGTAGCAGTGCGTGGCCGGTCAGCCTGCGCCACAACCCGCACGTCGCCACGCTACACGTCGCGGCGCTGGCCAGCCAGAGCCCTGCTGCCCTAGACCTTGCGCTTCTTCGCCGCAGCCTTGCTGTCCTCCCTGCGGACCACATTGGTGCAGGTGCCACACATGGTCGGTCAGAGAATATGCTCACGGTGTTGATTGACAAGGTGACACACTTCGGCGCATGCAAATGCTGCGGCCAGCAGCGGGCGGCCCTCAAAAGCAGCGGGGCACCACGCCCGCCAGTCGGACTGATTTGAACAAGAGACAATGCGCTCGGCCGCGCACCCTGCGACGGCGGCGTTGATGCGGTTGGCGGCCCAGACGATGCAGGCGAAGGGGATGACGATCCAGATGCCGTTGATGATGACGAAGTAGAACCAGAAATATATGAATTCGGGTCGCGTGTGGCGGTCAACACCTGGTCAGCAGGGGGTGCAAAGGGCGAGGAGGCGACGTGGGCGGGATTCTCAGGGGCATGAGGAGGGCAGCAGTAGCAGAGTCATGCCGCTGTCGTGCAGAGCATTCACTGCGCGGCGAGGGCTGATGCAGGGAGCGCGCGCTGGGGGTGGCTACCTTTCCCCGCGTCCACCCCTGCAACAGGATTAGAAAGCCAGCAGCCCCGGCATCCACCCCCGCTCTCTCGTGTGCGGCCGCGCTGTCACACCAAGACCCCCCTCTCGCCGCTCGCAAGCCGGCGTGGCGCCTTGGCCCTCACCGCCGTGGATGCATGTCCCGAAGTACAGCACATCGCCGTACAGCTGCCCCAGTGACACCAGCACGACCGCGACGTACCGCCACGCCTTGCGCGCGCAGAGCGCCCACACGATCAGGAAGCAGCCGGGGCCCTCGATGAATGCGGTGACGGCTTCCATGCTGATGACAAAGTCGTCGCGGGTGGCATAGCGCGAGTCGGCCTTGGCATACTCCTTCCCTGGGGGGGTGGAAGGGGTGCAGGTGTGGCAGGGTGGTGTGTGGTGGGTTTTGAGGGGGCAACGTTGGTGATGAGTTCCCTGCCGGGCGCTTGAAAAGCCCTTATGTAAAAATCAGAGCTGCTGCATCACCAGGCGCAGCGGCGTGTTGAGGGAGGGACCAAGGTCCCCGCCGTGCGCGCGGGCGGCAGGGGCACTTGGGTTGCGCGTGCTCACAGATCTCTGAGAGGATGTTGCGGGTCGTGTCCTTGTAGAAGTTGGCGTTGAGGACGACAGCGCCTGCGTCGTTACGGGGGATGCGAAGCGGCAGGGTGGTCTCACGGCTTGCGGGGGCGGCAGGCAGCGCCGCGGCGCGGCTGCCGAGGCACTTCCTGTGCCATGATGCTGCACTGCTGGAGGCTGCTGGTGCAGCGCGGCAGGGGCTCGCGCTGCGGCCGCCGCCGTGTGCACGCGCGAACGGCGCCGCCTGCAGGCCGCTGTCAGGTGTGCAGCCGTCACGTGCAGCCCGGTCATCAGTGCAGCCGCATCGTATACTCGTTGCGGCAGCCTCACCCTCGACGATCAAGTGGATGAGGCCGGTGCACAGGAACCAGCAGACCAGCAGCCGCTCCTTGGTCGCCAGGTGCTTATAATTGCCTAGCAATGGTGGGTCCCGCGCAGCGAGGCCGGACGTGGGGGCGGCAACCGGGTCGCCGCCTCGCCGCGTTGCAGCCCTGGCGGATGCCAGGGCGAGAACCTGAGCCAGGGACAGCAGGGCCCGCAGGCCGCAGGGGGTGACGAGCCGTGCGTTCCCTGTAGATCTTGCGCAGACAACCTGTGACCGAGTCTTGCTTAGCTCTCACCTGACAGCTTCCAGCCAAAGGCCAGCACTAGGAACGTGGCCGTGAAGAAGACGGCCAGCGTCTGCTCAAACGGCAGCTGCTGCGGGACGAAGCCCGCCAGTACAGTATCCGGCGGGAAGTAGGGGTGCGCATGGTGCACCTCGTTGATGTGCACCCCGCCTGTGCTGCTGTGCGCCGCCATGCTTGCAAATGAGCGCCCTGTTGAGGGCGGTTCGGTAGCGCTGTTGGGGTGGGCGACCACAAGCCACCGTTACACTTCGCTTGGCTGGAACGGCGTTGCCGGCGTAAGATTATGGTGTCCTGTGGCTATTTGACGCCAGGGACTACGCGCAGCAGGGGAAAGCGAGCGCGGGGCGGCAAAGCATGGACCGATCTGAGCTGCGTGATCCCAATTGCCTTGCGATCATTCTATAAGGAGACGTCGGCAGACGCAAATGCACCGTGTCCGACAAACGCCGCTCGCTCGTCAGCACCAGGTAACCCGTACAGTAAGTGTGGTCAGCCAGCTGGCCTCCGGATCCCCTGTTGATTTTTTCAATAGTGTTGCCGGTATAAGAGATCGCACGATCGAATCCTCAGCCTCATGCCACGCTGACAACGTAACAAGCTGAGCAGATGATCATTGACCAATGCCGCCAGGGGCCGGGCGGGCAGCTGGGGTCTGCAAGTCCGGTAATGCATTCACATGGAGTCCAGGCTCTGAGGACTTTTAAGCAACCTGGATATCAATGCAGTGCATTGCAACTCCATGATCCAGGTTGCTGTGCCGCAGCACCCTGATGGATGGTGGAGCAAAGCAGATCAGCGAAATTGCCGGAAGGGGAATGCGGCCACACCCCAACCGTCGCTCTGAACCCTCCCGGCTGCTCTGCCCTGAAATCTGTGTTTGCTGGAGGGCTGCATTTGTATTGAAAACCCATTTCATACAGTCATTAAGTGCACAGCTGGTGGCGGTTGTGGGGCGCAAAATGTATCAATGCCTGCGGCGGCCACCCAGACCAAGACTGCAGACGATGCAAGCGGCAGCAACAACCTGGAGTCCACACGGCATGAGTGCACGGTTCGTGCCGTCAGGCGACTGCCAGCGTGTGACCAGCGCCACCGCCAGGCCCCCGCCAGCCTTGCACCCGCCCCCCTTGCCTTCCCTATTTCGCCGGCTCAAGGAAAGTCTGGAGCATGCAACGCCAACGATGTAACATGCTTCGTGCAATGTGTTTGCGCATTGGGGTCCACACCGCCACAAATTGGATGGGACAGGAAAGTGGGGTGGGTGAGTAAGAAAAGGACGTTGTAGCATAGGAAGAGGGATCCCATAACATGCACACAGATATACCAGCAGGAGACTTTTCGAGGACAGATACACACAACCAAGCGCATAGAATGCACAAAAAGGCCATGGGGCATGCGGTGCGGTCGCGTGTTCATGTTGCCGCCCGGCGCATGGGTGAGGAATGGCGGCAGCGCCCGCTCGCGCGCCCTTTGCTCGGAAACATCAGAGGAGCAGGAGTGCCTGGGATGCCGCCAACAGCCGCCTGCACAGACACACCACCCTGCAAAATGCAGCTTCAGCGCACGCACAAGCCGCGGTTGGAAGGATAAGCGTACACGATGCTGCGCAACAGAAGCAGAACACCGACACGCATGGTGGGGTGTCTGAGGGCGACATCCCACCCGCGGAGGTCGCAATCCTCCACCCGTTAGTCAGCCATACACCGTGGTGCACGTGACGCAGCCCAACAGGTCTGCCCACCACTTCTTCTGGCCGCTGCCCTGCGGGGTCCAGCATGCGGTGATGCAAGCATTGAGTCACGCGGTACAAGCTGGGGTGCGATGCTTGGGGAGTTAGTGCGTGGCTCGGCGGATGCGCGACAAGCGCGCGCATGCAAGGCTCTGTGCCTTGATCTTTGCAAGCCCTTGCTTCTCGTAATGTGGTGGCCGGCGCCACTCATGCCCTGCATCAGGGGTGCCGCAACGCACCTTGTATCCTTTGCGCCGCAGCTCGCACACGCTGCGGACATAAATGTCCTCATATTCGCGGGCGTAGTCATCATACGCCTTGATCATGTACTGCCGCTGGCCACGCCAGTTGTAAGCAGGCAGCCACTCCGGCTGCCACTCGCCTGACCTCTCCCTGCTGCTGGGGCGCTCCTCGAAGCGATACTGTGTGCGGTGTGAGGGCAGGGTTTGATAGGTGATGGGGTCGTCAATGGGTTGTCTCTACAGAGGGGGAGGCGCTTGAGGGGACAGATCAGCAAACCTGTGTGAGCATCTCTGTTCACTGAAGGTCCGGCGGCGGGAGTTGCCCTACTGGGTTCCCTGGAGGGTTCCCAGTAACCCCTGTGTCTAGGCCCATGGTGGGGCTTGCACGAGGCCAGATTGCCCCAACACCCGGCGCAGGGCAGCGTGGAATATTCAATGCTTGCTGCTATTTTTCAGGTCTCTTTTACTGGACTCATTGAGCGGGCGCGAGCCGGCAGGCCTTGCAACAGTGAGGTGACAGCAGCTGCTCTTGGGGGGGGTGGATCTGTGCTGCGTGGGCGAACGGCAGCCAGATGCCCGAGTTGTAGGCGCCCACCTTGTCGTGATAGTAGGCCATTCTCTAGCACACGAAGGCTCTTCTGGAGCAGAGCGTCACGAGGGTGAGCGTGCGTGGAGGGTCACGGAGATAGAATTCGAAGCTTCAGGCGGTGTACCCAGCACTTGCTATGTGTATCTGTGATGCGAACTTTGATTTCTGAACGTCGTGATCAGCGGTACGATGCCTAAAAAGGGAAATGCAGTCCAGTGGCAGCTGTGTGGGCGGGCAAGTGCTGGGTGGACGGGCAAGTGCCGGGCGGATAGGACAGCAGCTGCCACAGCTGGCTCCTCCCCAGCATCCCGATCTCCGTCACCTGCGTGTGCTTGCAAATGGATTTTGAACTGGTATATTATTGGACACAGCATGCGGGTTGTGCAGTTGCACGCGTGAGAGTGACACACACCCAAAACCTCCCGAGAAGCCCGCCTGGCAAACCGTGGGATCCGCCGCCAACACATAGTGCTGTCGGTGCTCTGCATGATCATGAGTGTCCCTTCGCCAGCCGTTTCATGCATCTGATGTATGACTGGCGCTGCTCGAGGCTGGAGCTGCGTACCACCTGCGCGCTCAAGCCTGCGCACCACCGGGACCCCTGACAACCCCAGCACACACATTGGATTTACACGGGCAGGGCTCAGGCTGTCGCTGCCTGCTGTGCCTCACTGCTGCTGGTGCTGGTGCTGGTGCTGGTGCTGCTGCTACTGCTGGTGCTGCTACTGCTGCCGCCGCCTAGCATGTTTTTCAGGTAGAGCTCCCCCGCGCGGTAGCTGCTGCGCACCATGGCGCCGCTGGCCACGTACAAGAACCCCATCTCCTTCGCAGCCTGCTCGTAGGACTCAAAGGCGGCCGGCGTGACGAACTCGGACACCGCCATGTGCCTGCGGCGCGCGGGCGACGTGGCAGGCCGTGAGCGGACAATAGCCTATTAAGACCAGACATCCATGCCCAATGACACGGGCAGCGCTGCGCACACAGCCTTGAAGCCCACACACCAACGCTGCAGCCCGCCACAAGCGTCCAGGCCCACAAAGCTTCGCGCGCCCCCCTCAAAGCCTCAAACAGCGTCCCTTTCCGCGTCGCAGCTGCGCCCTCACTTCTTTGTCGGCCGCATATACTGGCCCAGCGTGACCACGTCCACCCCCGCCTCGCGCAGCAGCGCCAGCGCCTCCAGCACCTCCTCCCTGGCCTCGCCGCAGCCCAGCATGATGGAGGTCTTGGTCACACGCACACCCTGGTGTGGTGGGTGGGGGAAGAAGTGTGTGTGTGTATGTGTGCGCGCGTGCGTGTGTGTGTGAGTGTGTGTATGTGACTGCGTATGTATGTGCGTGTGTGTTGGTGTATGTGGGTAGATGTAGGTGTGTGTGTGTGTGTGTGTGTGTGTTTGTGTGCGCGCACGCGTCCTATGCCCGTGGGTTTGGGCGTGCGTGAGCGCGTGCGTGCAAATGCTCTTACTCGGGTGGCGATGCCTGAACATGCAGGCAGGCGCGTGTGCGTGCACGAGTGTGGGCACAGATGCGGGGAGGACGTGCGGCGCACTGCGGGATCTGATGGGTCAAAACGTCGAACGGAGATGTGCTGCAGCAACTCAAAGCAACAATCGAAGTCTTTGCCTGTGCGTTGCTTTATCCCAGCATTGCTCTCCGCTGACGAAATGAAATTTGTTAACATCGGCGGCGCACGCCGCCCGGCCATGTGGGGGCTCTCTCTCGTGCGTGCCCACCTGCTCCTTCGCCGCGCGCAGGACAGCTATGCTCTGCTGCCAGTTGGCGCGGCGGTCACGCACGACCGACTGCAGCCGCGGCACCGTCTCCACGTTGTGCGCAAACACGTCCAGGCCGGAGCCGGCAACGAGGTCCACCGCCGCACGGTTGCCCTGGGGCGACGCGGGGAAGGACCGGGGCGTGCGCGGCGCGCATTTCAGGCGACGATCCGGAGCTCGGCAAAGACGCGGCCCAGCCAACAAACGCACCACCTCCGCCTCATGCGCCACGCTCCTGTGCTATTGTCCTTTGCTTGCGCGATGCTCTTGAAGCAGGCAGCTGCACCAGCCGGCTCGCGGCCCCCCCATTGACCAGTGTCGCGACGATGATACCTGGAAGTCTGGCACCAGCGCCTCCACCAGCAGCCGCCCCTCTGTTTTCTCCTTGAGAAGCCGCACCGTCTGGGCTATGTGCGCCGCGCCGCCGTCCTAGGGGTTCGAGAAGGCGAATGGCAGGCCCCCGATGAGAGCCAAATGTGTTTGTGGGGGGTGGGGGGGGGGGGGCAACAACGCCCCGGTGTGATGCAAGTCAGGCCCCGAGGCCGCGGGGCAGTCTCGACGGCCCGTGCAAAGCTCAAGGTTCCATACATCTGGTGACAGCGCCGCCCGCCGGCCGCTCGACAGCCACCTGCCTGCTGCTGCCCCACAAAGCAGCCGGCCGCCGCCAACTGCCCGCCAGCCACCCCTCAACCGCTCGAACCGCCAGCCGCCAGCCGCCAAGTGGCGGCCAGGGGGCCACCCACCGGCAGGTCGTCCCTGTCAACGCTGGTGAGCACCACGTAGTCCAGCCCCCAGGCCGCGATGGCCTTTGACACGTTCTCAGGCTCTGACGCGTCGAGGGGGGGCGGCGCCCTGCCGGGGAG